CCCACTTTTTGTTATAAAACTTTTACCTTTACAGTTGTGACAGTCACAATTAGTCATGATAACACTTATTCACTACTAGAATTATAAGAATCTTATCCCTATCTTCTTTCACCAGACCCATCTAGTCAAGATAAAAACTACTTTCACCTGCACACTCTGAAACTAAACTCCCTCTTGAAAACTTGTAAATCTAGTCACTTTGTGCCTTTATAGCTCCCCATTTTAGGTAGCCAATGTGTAAGTTGCCCGTCCCTATCAACCCTGTATACAGAAGGGATAGGATTGCTATGAAGTGGGTTCTTAAATTCTCCATCTGCCACAAGTTTCCACTGACTTCTCCAGTGAGTCAGGCTGTCTCCTACTGAACTGACCCTGGATATGGCAAATGAGGGCACACATACACACCACTTAGAAACTGCTCCCAACCTAGAGTGGCTAGAACACATAGTGTGATTGGAACCATGTTTTCTGCTCTCTGGAAATGCAAACCTTTGCCACAAAGCCTGGAAACCATAGTCAGAGCTGCCATAAGCTATTACTTGCTGATGATTGATGATATTATCTGCTATTTTCCACCTGTTTACTTTCAAAACAAAACTCTATTTATTGAGCTGACGGCTGGAAGGAAAATGAGTGAATCTTTGGTGGTTTGTGATGTTGCTGAAGATTTAGTGGAAAAGCTGAGAAAGTTTCGTTTTCACAAAGAAACAAACAATGCTGCCATTATAATGAAGATTGACAAGGATAAACGCTTGGTAGTACTGGACGAGGAGCTTGAGGGCATTTCACCTGATGAACTTAAAGATGAACTACCTGAACGACAACCTTGACCTTCATTGTGTATAGTTATAAATACCAACATGATGATGGAAGAGTTTCATATCCTTTGTGCTTTATTTTCTCCAGTCCTGTTAGATGTAACAGATGATGTATTCTGGGAGTAAGAATAAACTAGTCCAAACAGCTGAACTAACCAAGGTATTTGAAATAAGGAATACTGAAGACCTAACTGAAGAATGGCTAGATGAGAAACTTGGATTTTTCCACTAATGTGAGCTTCTGTGTTTCTAAAGTATTTATGTGTTAACCTGACCATACTGGAACCAGACATAAATACTTATTTATGCCTAAAAATGCACTGCTATTTACAGTTTGTTTCCTGCAGTAAAGAAATATCTTCATTTGTGCAAAGTTTGAAAAAGAGGAAATTATCTTCATAGTAATGAAACTTTGTAAAGTGTTTCCTTATATTTGTAATTGTTAGGTGGACTACTTCTCTCCAGGGACATTTTGCACTCTTGTGACTAATTTCTATAACTTATGGTTCAGAATTTGTTACTATTTACCAATGGAAAGTGGATATTGGATTGTGATAGACAACAGTTGCCTCCTTTTGACAAATACTGGATATTAGCAGTTTGTATGTGAAAATAATATATTATCATTTGTCAAATCGTTGAAATTAATTTGGGGTTAAAGACTTGAGTAACCTTATTTTGAGCCATGGATAAAAATGTACTGTCAGATAACCTACAAGTACAATTCTCATCAATTCCATACCCTCTTGGGTTTCCTAGATCTTTTTAATCAAGTCCAGAAACTATGTTCCTCAGTCATTGTTAAAGTCAAACATGACTATGACGATTAGGGTTCTTCTTTTAGAACGTTGAGCTATGCTTAATCAAGGGCTTCATTTTGGATTGTCACTTCTAGATAATTTTGAGCCGAGGTTAATAGCACTTTATTTATAAAACATCTCCTAATGTCCTCTGAACACTCGTTTTTTTTTACTGTGTTAATACTGTGCCTTTGATTTCATAGTATTAAAATTAGTTTAAGACTTTTACACTGCCAATATTCCAGATTTGGTGAAATTAATACTTTTGTAAAGGGTCCAAGTAAAATATTTTCTAATGTGTGTATCCGAAATTTGTAATAAAATTAACTTCATATTTTTAAAATTCCAACTGTCTGCATGAATTGGTAGATATTTGGCAGTTGTGAGTTTTAATTTTAGATATATTTGTGATCATGTTTATGCCATAGGAAAAAAATTACTTACCTGAAAACTTCGGCCACAGTTACTAACATTAACATGTTAGTGGAATATGCATCTTATTTCTAAATGTCAGAGATAGTCTAAAGTGAACACATGAATAATTAGCTAGTCATGTGGAATAATGGCAGCCTTGTCATAAAACAAGGATTCTAATATATGGCATACCTTAAAAATAAAAGGCTAAGTACTTGTTTAACATTAATTTGATGGTAGGTCTTGAGTCTTCAGAATAATAAAATTTGGTGGGTGAACTATCATATTAAGAATATTTTAGTTATTTCAAACTAGCAAAGGTTTTTTTTTATGTTACTTTATTTTCCATTCATATGTTCTTCGCATACTTTTTTTGGGTTTCTTGCCAACTTTAATAAAGAAGTATAGATGGTTGGAATTTTCACCATATTGAAGAGAGCATCATCTGTTCCCAACACCTGTATCTTACTATTTGGCTCCGCTACTCTAGACATAAGAAAGCAAAAGGAAGTTAGTTGAAGATGAGAAAGTGGTGGTAGAGTGGGTTTTGTTTTGGGTAGATGAATGGAAATGAGTCTTGACTCAAATTTCAAGAGAGAAAACCTCACCCAGGAATTTCATGAATTCCTCAAACCACTATTTTGATATTGGAGAATAACTTGTCTAACATTGTGTAGAAATGGAAATGTAATGCAAGTAGAGAGTGTTTTTAATGTTTTCAAATGAATGAAATAAGAGTTTATTTTACCCAGTTCACAGCAATAAGAGAACCTAACTAGTGCTGTAAGAATGTATTTTTAAATGAGGTTCCTTATTTTGTCATGCATGGGTTTTCTGTTTGTTTTTTGGTTATTTCCTCTCTGTATACTATTAGATGTCCTAAATGGAGATTTACCAATCCTGTGCTCTAAAGTCTCAAATTTTATATTAATTTTCCTTTTATCTGAACAAATTTTACAGTATTCTTTTCTAGTTTATTTCTACTTTGATCTCATTTTCTGCCGTCTCTCAAATAGTAACTCCAGATTTCATGATTCTAGGTTTTACATTCCATATCTTTTTGATACAAGCTATTCACATTCAGTCTTAAATCACAATCTTTTCTTTTATGGCAGCAGAATTTGGTCCTGGGAACCTCTTTCGTGGTTGTCAAAATCAGTATTAGTTTTGAAATTGTTGGCCTTGCATAAGTCTGCATAGCATCTGATGATGTCAAAATACAGCCATCTAGTAATCACAGTATGTTTTCAGTGGCAACATAAATGACTTATGACGAAAACTGTTCTCAGGTTACTGTGCTAAAGTTCCAAAATGTTGTCTGAGTTTTGAATCTATTCACTTTGTGCTGGTATTGAGGCAGTTATGCTAGGAAAAAAAGTTGGTTGACTGACTGTTTTTGTTTAATTGACTTCTAAAACATTCGAATTGTCTATTTCTAAAAGGTTTATGAAATGCCTAGTTGCATTTAAACATACTCTTGTTTAAGAGGGTGTTGCTAAATTTCCTATTGTTGTTATTAAGTAATCTTTTTAGCAAAATGTCTGTCAGCACCTCTCCCTCCTCTCTTATCTCCTATTTTCAGGAGTCAAGCATAGCCATGTACTGTACCCTGGTCTGAAACTTCACTAAAAATTTAACGTCGGGGGTATGTTGCCAAATTAAATATGGCAGTTTCCCCCACTAACCATATAGAAATATGGAAGGCATATTTTAAAGAACAAAAATTTGTGTGGACTACTTTGAACCCCTGAGCCATGTCATTAATCCATACTGTGGACTAGTGATGAATAGGTATTTTCATAAGAGATGCTGATACTCGGTGGAAGTAGAGAGTACCTCGTTACCCTATCAATTCAAATATTCTTAGTATGATTACTTTCCCTGTTGTTCCACAGACTGATAATGCTGGAATCGCTACAGAAATTGAGCTCTTACAGCTACGTGAAGGAATGTCTTGACCATTTCCTGTCAAGTCTTATTTTGTATTTCTGTACGAATGTACATAATTTCCTAGACCACCTAAAACCAATGGTCCCAAGTTGAAGATTCTTGAGAAATTTGTTTCGTATTATGCCATTTGACATTTCAAATCAGTTATCCTATTCCTCTGATGTTTAAAACCACCATCCTAATGTTGTGATGGAAACTTATTTTTTGCTTTCTGGAATATAGTTTATGCACATGTTATTACTTGAATATTCTTTGAAATCACTAATATGCCACGGCAGTTCTCACTGATTTCGATGGTCCAATATAATCTCATTTTGGAGGCTTGAAACATTAAGGTCAGTCTTGTGAATTTTAACAATTCCCTCTCAATGTTTAACAAAAGCAACAATTGGCACAACTTATGTTGTGGTTTCAGTCTCTGCTAGTTCATATTGCATGTTTATTTTAGATAGTCTTTTGTTAAGCATGGTGCTTGTACTGGTCTAAATAAAAATTTTAACATGAAAAACAAAACAAAACAAAAACCCCTCTATTTATTAAGTGAATCCTATTTTGAATACTTTAAATGATATTTTGAGATCAAGTCAACTTTGAATACCAGATCAAGTCAACTTACAACTCTGGATACCCAATATCAAATCCCATATGTTAAAGGTTAATCACCATCTGGTCTAGAAAGGACCAGAAAAATCATAAGATGTGTGGAAGGCACATTGAAGACAATTTTTACTTTCTGCAGCACTCACAGACCCCTCCAAAAGTTGATAGCACCCTTTCCTGATGCTGTCAGTGGGAATCACCCTGATTTGCAATTGTCTCAGTAAATGTCCATCTCAGTTCTAGAGGCTGAGTCCCATCAGAATAATAAGATTCTTCTTGATATCTGGGCAGGTGGCAGGGTGGGGCAGTGGACAGAGCCTGGCCTGGAATCAAACTGCAGTTCCATCTTTGGACTTTGGGTGAATCTGTCTTGCACACTGGGGCATAGAGCTCAAAAAATCACTCAGTTATATCACACTTAGTCGCAGGGTCAGAGGTCTGGGCTTAAACACTGTCCTTGAGCCTGTGGATTTTAAAATCAGAGTTTCCACTCTACTATAACGGGCAGACATCTAGAGCAGGAAGGATCACACTCATGTTCTCTGTCTTACAAATGTCCTTCAACAGGAAGAAGGCAGGCAAGCAGGCAACCAAGATTGTGTGGAACTGAGGCTGCTGGCTTCAGCTAAGCACTCAGAGAGTGAGTGGAGGTGCTTGCATCTGCCTTCTTTTGTCCTGCACCACAGACTGTTACAGATGGGGTTCAAGAGGGGAGGAACATTTTAGAACAATTGCCTCTTCTAACCCCTTATGTGTGGGTTGTTGTTGTTATTAAGTGCTGTCAAGTCTGTCCCGACACATAGCGACTTATAGGGTTTCTGAGGAGCAGCTGGTGAGCCTGAATTACCAACCTTTCAGTTTGAACTGACCTTGCAATCCAGTGAATTAACTCACAGTACCACACCAGGACTCCCCTATGTGTGAGAGAGATATAAAAAGACAGAATAACTGTGAAGTATGAGTACATGCTGTTATTAGCTGAGCTATATAGGTTATACTCATTTTTTAACTCAGGCATTCTTGCACTTTCTACTTTATAGTAAACATGTTGTTGTTGTGTGCCATGGAGTCGGTTCCAACTCATAGCGACCCTGTATAGGGTTTTTGAGACTGTAAATCTTTACAGGAGCAGAAAGCCTCATCTTTCTCCAGCGGATCAGCTGGTAGTTTCGAACAGTTGACCTTGTGGTTCCACAGCCCGATTCGTAACCACTATGCTACCAGAGCTACTTAGTAAACATGTAGCCCTTGATAATTTGTAAAACAAAAAGATAAAAGAGTTTTAAAAGAAAAATGTAACATCTAAAATGGTACAACTATCATTGTTTTTCTGGTTGTTATGTGCTATAGAGACGTTTCAGACTCATAGCGACCCTGTACAGAGTTTCTGAGGAGTGGCTGGTGAGTTTGAATCGCTGACCCTGCGGTTCAAACTGACCTTGTGGTTCAGTGCTTTACCTCATAACACCAAAGGAGGACCCCACAGAAAGGGAAAAACATAGAGTGTTACAGACAAGTGAGGAATTTGACACTGTTGAGGTTAAAAAAAAAAAGAAAAAAAGACTTAGGAAAATAGGGTGAGTGAGGGTTTATCTGCAATGAAGGAGGAAAACACCACAGGTACAGGCTGAAAGGAGCAGCTGAGTTGCTAAAATACCAAGGGAATAGGGGCAGGAAAAGACCATATGTG